GGACCAAGATATACCTCAAGGCAAGGTAACAGGTCCCATGGAAACATGAAAGTGAAAAGCATCAATAAATGAGCTAAATGGGTAATCAGCATATGCGAAACAAACATAATAGCATAGACTCACTCCGTAGAGGACCCAGAGCCAAAGAGGTCTTCAGGAACTTCCGCACGGCATAGCAGTACTCACCTAGTTGTGCTTGCGGGGTTGAGCTCTGGCTCTTTGGTCCCGCCTCTCAACAGTCAATCAACAGGTGTACAGGTTCCTGAGCCTATTGGGCTCTATCATATCTACACTTGAAACTGTGTATGGAGTCAGCCTCCACCACATCACTGCCTAATGTATTCCATTTGTCAGCAGCACCTTAACACCTCTGTCAAGAGTAACCACATGGAAGGCACTATAAAAAGTTTGCACTATAAAGTTAAGTGGAGGCAGACTCCATACATAACATTAAAATGAAGATATGATAAGAAGTCAATAGGCTCCAGGATCCTGAACACCAGCTGACTGAAGGCCAAGAGGTAGAGGCTACAGAACCCCGAGTTCAATCCCAGCAATCACAATCAAGCAAGTAGTCAACCCCCACAACAATGAGGACAGAAGAAAATGTATATGTGATGGTTAGCATTGTAAATGTGTGGCCACGTCTGTGGTAGTATAAAAGGGGGGGGGGGGGGCCACGAGAAAGAATGTGGGGAGGGCGCCCAAACTCAAAAGAGGATTAAGTCTTCCAACACCTGATGAACACATCAACACCTGAGGGAATGATGAACACTCCAACACCTGAGGGTATGATGAACAATGAGCTAAGTAGTACAATGCTTCACTTGAAAACAAAGGACAGTCACCAAAAAAATAATGTCTAAATAGCTCGACAAATTAAATTTTTTCCCAAAAATTTATTTAAATTAAGTCCATGTGCATAGGGTAATATATACCTTGAACGTTACTAATGGACGCTTTACGTGCGCGGTCGCTTGATCAAGGTCACTTAAGGGTGAAGGCGGCCACTTGAGGATCACTTAAGTGACTGTCACAACTTCGTTAATTAACAAAAAGGAAGCCTAGTCGAGGACCGGGTCACGGGGAACGCTAAGCCCCGATATCATAAGATAACCTCAAGACAAGATATCTTAAAACAGTTTCTCTCCTGTGGAATGATGTAGTTGCGTCGTTCTAACCACCTCTTCGTAATCTCCGAACATGTTAACGTAATACACAATTTCGAACCGTAATCCAAGGCTTCCAAACCAAACTGCATAGCCTAAGGAAAAGGCAATTTTTGTGCAAATTATCAATTTTGCAATATTTAATATGAGCTCCTTGGGGGATCATTTTGTAACTAAAATCTCAACATTTTACCGTACGGAATAATTAAGACAAATCATCATCATGTATGACACTCATCATCATTATATTTTAAATGTTGACACCAATTCAATAAATTGTGTAATAATCCTATAAAACCTTGCTTTCTGAATAAAAAAAATTTTGCATTTAAGAGCTGGATTTTGGCCTAGAGCCCCCATAGGCCTACTTGCCAGAGAAAATAGAGCCGCTCAGACACGGCAATATGAGTTGACTATGCCTTCCTGTACAACACCTGCACCTGAGGTAAGGGTTCCTCCCTGTACAACACCTGCACCTGAGGTAAGGGTTCCTCCCTGTACAACACCTGCACCTGAGGTAAGGGTTCCTGCCTGTACAACACCTGCACCTGAGGTAAGGGTTCCTCCCTGTACAACACCTGCACCTGAGGTAAGGGTTCCTCCCTGTACAACACCTGCACCTGAGGTAAGGGTTCCTCCCTGTACAACACCTGCACCTGAGGTAAGGGTTCCTCCCTGTACAACACCTGCACCTGAGGTAAGGGTTCCTCCCTGTACAACACCTGCACCTGAGGTAAGGGTTCCTCCCTGTACAACACCTGCACCTGAGGTAAGGGTTCCTCCCTGCACAACACCTGCACCTGAGGTAAGGGTTCCTCCCTGTACAACACCTGCACCTGAGGTAAGGGTTCCTCCCTGTACAACACCTGCACCTGAGGTAAGGGTTCCTCCCTGTACAACACCTGCACCTGAGGTAAGGGTTCCTCCCTGTACAACACCTGCACCTGAGGTAAGGGTTCCTCCCTGTACAACACCTGCACCTGAGGTAAGGGTTCCTCCCTGTACAACACCTGCACCTGAGGTAAGGGTTCCTCCCTGTACAACACCTGCACCTGAGGTAAGGGTTCCTCCCTGCACAACACCTGCACCTGAGGTAAGGGTTCCTCCCTGTACAACACCTGCACCTGAGGTAAGGGCTCCTCCTTCCACCCGAGGTAAGGGTTCCTCCCTGCACCCGAGGTAAGGGCTCCTCCCTGCACCTGAGGCACGGGCTCCTCCCTGCACCTGAGGCAAGGGCTCCTCCCTGCACCTGAGGCAAGGGCTCCTCCCTGCACCTGAGGCAAGGGCTCCTCCCTGCACCTGAGGCACGGGCTCCTCCCTGCACCTGAGGCAAGGGCTCCTCCCTGCACCTGAGGCAAGGGCTCCTCCCTGCACCTGAGGCAAGGGCTCCTCCCTGCACCCGAGGCAAGGGCTCCTCCCTGCACCTGAGGCACGGGCTCCTCCCTGCACCTGAGGCAAGGGCTCCTCCCTGCACCTGAGGCAAGGGCTCCTCCCTGCACCCGAGGCAAGGGCTCCTCCCTGCACCTGAGGCACGGGCTCCTCCCTGCACCTGAGGCAAGGGCTCCTCCCTGCACCTGAGGCAAGGGCTCCTCCCTGCACCCGAGGCAAGGGCTCCTCCCTGCACCTGAGGCACGGGCTCCTCCCTGCACCTGAGGTAAGGGCTCCTCCCTGCACCTGAGGCAAGGGCTCCTCCCTGCACCTAAGGTAAGAGCATCACGCACAAAGTAAAGGCAACTGGCATGTCCTTCAATGTGATCAACGGTTCGCCAGGCGTGACGCATCGCCCCCCCCCCTCCCCTTCCCCGTCCACCAGTCGAATACCAACTTCAAGTTCTATGAAAAACCGAATCAATACTCTTGGCCGAGTGGCGCAACATCTCTTCCCAGCTCGCCAGTTCAGCGACCCAAGACTAGGTAGGTACCTGGCTCGATAGAGAACAGTTTTCCGAAATGACCCGGCAAGATCTTTTTTTATCCCACTTACTGCTAGCCTAAACAGTTTCGCCAGATCGTGTGAAATAAAGCCTTCCTAAACCCCACTCTCTGGTTTGTTGTTGTACAAGATTCTACGTGCGAGAATTGCTCGTAATATAGTTTGGCTTCGTTCAAAACTCGCAATCGGGGGATCCAGGGTTCGATTCCGGAGACAGAAATGGTAGGGTTCGGTTTCCTTTCACTTCATCCGGTCGTAATGGCTTTGTTCACCTTGTAGCATATATACTACCCGGGAGTGACAACCGTTGTGGAGCTGCATCCTGGAGAGGGTCAGTTGTTTGGCCTTGAGGGCACATCTCAGGCACCCTCAACAGTCACTGTTCAGCGTCTAAATTAATTAATATATATATATATATATATATATATATATATATATATATATATATATATATATATATATATATATATATATATATATATATACAGTTTATATATATATATATATATATACATATATATATATATATATATATATATATATATATATATATATATATATATATATATATATATATATATATAAATAAAATATAGGAAAGGGAGTACCACCTCTTCTATATCTAACATTTTCGGTCATATTTAACATTTATTTAATGTTATCCCCTATATATTATTTTACACACACACACACGTACGTGATGTTGATTGACAGTTGAGAGGCGGGACCAACGAGCTAGAGCTCAACCCCCGCAAGCACAACTAGGTAAGCACAGTGTTCCCAACAATGGGCATTATTACTCTTAAAAAGATGGCTTGGCATTATACATGTGTAACTAAAGATAGTAAGCGTTACTACAGTATCCACCCACACACCTACTGCAAGAGCCTACACAACCCTAATAACCCCTCTCCACAACAAGTGGGGTCTCATTCTACAATTCTCATTCTACAATCACAAACATTTGTTTAGGGAGCACAAGGCGGCAGCTGCAGGTAAGCCTGTAAAAAGGTCCGAGTCCCTCCCCTGCCCTTCACTAAAAGAACATCAAGATAAACCCACAACACTCGTGCTGGAACCTTCAATTGCTTTACCTTGCCTAATATGTCCCGCTGTGGGGCCAAATGACTTTCATGCGTCAGACTGCGAGCAGCGACATCTAACAAGACTGCCAACCAGGAGGCCTGGGCAGACCGGGCCGCGGGGACATTGATCCACGGACCCATCACAACGTAGAGACGATAAGTGATCAACAGAGCTTGGGAAAAAATAACGGCTTATAATGACTAATTTGTCAAAGAGGACATATCAATGACAGCCAAATACGGAAATAATGAGGCTGTGCTTGAAGAAACGTCAACTCTTACTTGCTCTCACACCATAATGTAGCACCAAGGCACTCGTCAAGCCCTACGCCCATACCCTCACCGAGGCACTCGTCAAGCCCTACGCCCATACCCTCACCCGTGAAAGTGTCAATTAAAATTAGCAGGGGGGGGGCGCTTGCAGCCGGAGCGTCACAGCAAGTGCGCCACTCCCACCCTAGGTTATATAGAGGGCACCTGCCACTTCCTTCGGGTCCTGCACCTACCACCGTCCCACCGTCATATTAACAACTTCACATCCAACACTACAGGCCACAACAACTTGTACACCATGCTTAATTAACGCAGTTTACATTGAAATCTAATTCGGAACCTTAACACGATATATATAACAAGCGTACACGAGCATAATTCATATTTAATCCACGGAGAGCCCATCGTGTTTCAATACTAGAGTCGTGAGAGCAGAGCACGGTGCAAATATTACCACCTTACATTATAGGAGAAAAATGTATAGCATAGCCTATCCATTTCGCTTCAGACAGCCTAAGACGGGCTGGCGGCCAAGACAACCTAATGGATCACTGCATCCACACACGTCAACAATAATGGTGAATTTAAAAGGCCACCCAATGGTTCCGTACACCCACTGTCCACGTCCAATGGTTCCGTACACCCACTGTCCACGTCCAATGGTTCCGTACACCCACTGTCCACGTCCAATGGTTCCGTACACCCACTGTCCACGTCCAATAGTTCCGTACACCCACTGTTCACACCCAATAGTTCCGTACACCCACTGTCCACGTCCAATAGTTCCGTACACCCACTGTCCACGTCCAATGGTTCCGTACACCCACTGTCCACGTAAAATGGTTCCGTACACCCACTGTCCACGTCCAATGGTTCCGTGCACCCAATGTCCACGTCCAATGGTTCCGTGCACCCACTGTCCACGTCCAATGGTTCCGTACACCCACTGTCCACGTCCAATAGTTCCGTACACCCACTGTCCACACCCAATAGTTCCGTACACCCACTGTCCACACCCAATAGTTCCGTACACCCACTGTCCACGTCCAATGGTTCCGTACACCCACTGTCCACGTCCAATAGTTCCGTACACCCACTGTCCACGTCCAATGGTTCCGTACACCCACTGTCCACACCCAATGGTTCCGTACACCCACTGTCCACACCCAATGGTTCCGTACACCCACTGTCCACACCCAATGGTTCCGTACACCCACTGTCCACACCCAATGGTTCCGTACACCCACTGTCCACACCCAATGGTTCCGTACACCCACTGTCCACACCCAATGGTTCCGTACACCCACTGTCCACACCCAATGGTTCCGCACACCCACTGTCCACACCCAATGGTTCCGTACACTCACTGTCCACACGCGAAGAAACCTCAAAAGGTCCACAGCCAACTAGTCGGCATCAGCATAATGCTGCCCAACCCACCCTTGAAAGAACCGTTGCCCGACTAACATGCCAGACCATATTTTGTTAATTAAGTCTAATTATTTACCAAGTTGGTGATAGGCTAAAAACGTAAAGCATTTTCCGAACTTTACACTAAAAATGAAACTGGTTTAATTTCTAATTCACACGTATAAATGTGCAGAAATCAATAAAGGACAGACAGCCTATTAATAGGTAGGGAAAATCAAAACTATTTATGGAAATGAATTAATTTTTATTTTTATTTTAAGGATACAGGTAACCATTGGTTTAGTAATTGGCTTTTCAAGAATAATAAGAGAATAACAGTCTAGCAGGCCCACTGCAGTGTGTGTGTCTGCCTGGCAGGGGCCAGCAGGCCCACACTGCAGTGTGTGTGTCTGCCTGGCAGGGGCCAGCAGGCCCACTGCAGTGTGTGTGTCTGCCTGGCAGGGGCCAGCAGGCCCACACTGCAGTGTGTGTGTCTGCCTGGCAGGGGCCAGCAGGCCCACTGCAGTGTGTGTGTCTGCCTGGCAGGGGCCAGCAGGCCCACACTGCAGTGAGAGCCTGCCTGGCAGGGGCCAGCAGGCCCACTGCAGTGTGTGTGTCTGCCTGGCAGGGGCCAGCAGGCCCACACTGCAGTGAGAGCCTGCCTGGCAGGGGCCAGCAGGCCCACTGCAGTGTGTGTGTCTGCCTGGCAGGGGCCAGCAGGCCCACACTGCAGTGAGAGCCTGCCTGGCAGGGGCCAGCAGGCCCACACTGCAGTGAGAGCCTGCCTGGCAGGGGCCAGCAGGCCCACACTGCAGTGAGAGCCTGCCTGGCAGGGGCCAGCAGGCCCACACTGCAGTGAGAGCCTGCCTGGCAGGGGCCAGCAGGCCCACACTGCAGTGAGAGCCTGCCTGGCAGAGGCCAGCAGGCCCACACTGCAGTGAGAGCCTGCCTGGCAGGGGCCAGCAGGCCCACACTGCAGTGAGAGCCTAACGTTATAAAAACCAAGATACAACAGTTTTGCCTGACAACTAAACCAAAACAACATTCACCCGACTGACACTATCCTAGTGGCCTTGAGAGAAGGAAACATACCGGGATCCCCGTACGGTATATTTTTAAAGGTCACGTGTTGTTAACACACAGTAAGCCTGCTGCATTTCTTCCAACATCTCTCTAATATATAAGCCCATGAGATTTTAAAGCTGAAATGCCTCTAGGTAGAGAAACCTATCAGGAATAGTTATGAGAAACAAAAGAAAACAAAACAGTTCCAGGGAGAATACTTGGCGTTACAATATGCCAGTAACTTACTAACGAACACACAGCTTACCAACCAGCTATCGACAACAACAATTATCAACACGTGGTGATTCAATCTGAACCAACTTTTATCATTCCAAACTGGCAGCCTTGTGGACACAGCACGAGATTGTAATCTACATGGCGCAATAAATCACCCTACAGCTGTTACACACTTAAACACTCCTTGCTTCACCGAGTATGTGAATAATAAAAACAATAATAACAATAATGCCAGTTTGAAGACCCCGTAATCTGAAGAAAGACTACTGGTTGAAATCAATGCTTCAACTTTTGAGTGAATGCAACGAAATGCCAATTGTTCACAATGTGTAACCGCAGAGCAATCTTTTCACGATGTATGCAATATAATCCACCTTTGCCAACACTAGCTTCAAAGAGAGAGAGAAAAAAACCTGTTCAACTTGTCAGGTGCGCACAAAACAAGCCGACAAGAACAAAAGATGTGGTCACGCGCTAAGTGTGTCACGCACACGCTAACTCAACTTGTGTAACACCAGCAAGGGAAAGTTTATGTAGACCTAACCCCCCCCCCAACCTCCCGCCCCCACATACACGGCCAAATAATCTTATATGCATTTCGGCAATGCAGTGCTAAAATTGCTAAACGTAAATGAAGTAAAAAGTAAAAGTAAGAAGTCAATTAAGTACAAATTTACTTAATTTACAAGTACTAAAATAAAGCAAAGGGGTGACGCTTAATTCACAGCCAGCCTTGGTGGCCATATGGTACCTCTCGCTCAGGGTAAATCCTTAACTTTCCCCTGGCGATAAATCCCACTCATTAATCACAACAAAGCGTGTCTGCCACTGCATGTGTCAAAATGGGCGAATAGGCCTAAGCAAAATGGAAAGACCAGACGGCACTTACGAACAACTTTTGACAAGTACAGCTCTTGTGATCTAGAACTTTATATATATGGCGTGATATGGGGAAATATTCCCTTACGAAACGATCACAGAGCGTAAATACATTCTAGAATGGAGATCAGGCCAAAGCCCCCCCCCCCACACACACGGTCCCCAGAGGTAAACCTCGCCCCCCACCACTAACACATGGGTTCCCAGAGGTAAACCTCGCCCCCCCCCACACACGTGTCCCCAGAGGTAAACCTCGCCCCCACATATGGGTTCCCAGAGGTAAACCTCGCCACCCCCACACACACGGGTCCCCAGAGGTAAACCTCGCCCCCACATATGGGTTCCCAGAGGTAAACCTCGCGCCCCCACACATGGGTTCCCAGAGGTAAACCTCGCCCCACACGGGTCCCAAGAGGTAAACCTCGCCCCCCCCACTAACACACATGGGTTCCCAGAGGTAAACCTCGCCCCCCACTAACACACATGGGTTCCCAGAGGTAAACCTCGCCCCCCACTAACACATGGGTTCCCAGAGGTAAACCTCCCCCCCACTAACACAATGGGTCCCCGAGGTAAACCTCGCCCACATACACACGGGTCATCTAAGGTAAACCTCCCCAGAGGTAAACATAACCCCCAAACACGGGTCCCCAGAGGTAAACCTAACCCCCAAACACGGGTCCCCAGAGGTAAACCTCACCCCGACATTACACAATTACCGTACTGTTCACTCTTAACAAGTGTACTATATATAGACTCCCCGGGGGGGAAAGTAGCTCAGTGTTCCAGAAGTTTACACACACACACACTTTCATCTCTCCGGGCTGGCGGCGGGTTTCATCATAGCTATGTAAACCACGTTTTAGCTCCTGATGGGGGGAGGAGGACCAACCAGAGGTATACCATTCCACAAGAGGGTGGTTCATCAATGCCAGTTTACACACACACTTTCACGAGAGGGTTGTCCTTGTAACCATCAAGACCAACAAAGTAGGTTAGAGCCAGGTCGTGGCGACCTTGACGGCTCTCACTTTCATTTTCACACCGTGGGTTTCCTCTCCCACTCACTCTCGACCCCCCACATGTCAGGTATATTCGGGTAAAGGCGAGTCCTGCCACGGGGGCCCTCCTCCAAGATGGGGGGCCCCCGTGGCGGGAAAAAGCTTAGCGCCGTTATTCAACAGGTTCCCCCCAAAACTTACCTCTGAAAGTGAAGTCTGCGCATTCAAACCCGCGTCGGTGGAGTCTTCCTTTTTCCTCTTAAAATTGACTGGGTTCCTCATTCAAAATTTTCACCATTGGAGGGAAAAGGGGGGAAAGGGAGGAATTTTTTTGGAGGGGGGAGGGAAAAGGAGCACCGCACAAGTCTTTCTTAAAAAAACAAAAATATTTTTAACCGCTTATTGCACCGTTACTGGATTCCACACACACACCCGCGGTAGCTTGCATAAAAAAAAGTTTTCGGATACCAAAAGTGGCGAGAGTCAGGTCATGGGGAGTGACTAGGCGAGGCTGGGGAGGGCGGCGGAGAACGTGTGTGTGGCGGCACAGCTGGAGCGACACTGAGTTGCCAGCGACACGCGGGCGGCGGCCTGGCTCGGGGCGGGGCCTCCTGCCACTCGCCTCCCTTACTAGTATTTCCTCTTTTTCCCCCTCCCCCTTGCTTATCATTCCTCTATCTCTGGCGTTTAGACGGTGTCAAAGATTGCCTGCGTGTCATGCGAAGGAGGTGGAGGCTAGTGAAGGATCGTGCGAAGACACTGGTAGGCATTGGAGATAGAGACATCGCGCCTCCGCCACCGTAAACAAGAGCACGCGCGCCAAATCTCTTTGTCCCGCACGCTGGCCTCTCCCGGCCACCTCACACACCTCACACCCGTCTAATGTCCCTCATTTCCCTGTGACAGCTGGTGATAGACAGGTGGTGTGAGGTGCAAGCACCCCTCGGGTGTGGTGCAGCGAGAGCAGCGCCCTCCAGAAGCAGCTAGGCCTGGCTGTCTTTGTCCCAGAGCCGCCCGCGACCCTCAACACGGGGCCGCCCGCAACCCACGCAGTTGCCACTATTAGCAACGCAAATGACGTTTCGGATCTACACGCGGCGGCTTTAATGACGGAGAGGAGTCGACAACGTTCGTAATCCCAGTTATACGGAGGCTGGCAAGCGCCACGCAACTTTCGAACGCTTTCGCAAACACCCATTTCCTGCTGCGACGAATTCCAGATCAACTACACAACGACACAAACGGCATATACGCATTTAAACATCACCCGTTTGCATTGCCTAAGAAACAGTTCCGTTAGCGGCGTAGCAGTAGGAGGCGAGGGCAAGCGGAGGTGCGATAGGCCTGCCGTAGGCCCAGCAGGAAGGAGGTTGGGTGAAATAGGAGGCCTGGGGAGGGTGGGTTGGGAATGTAGGCTGTTGGCGCGCTCACCGGGAGGGAGGGAGAGAGAGGGGGGAGGACCGCTGATTCACAACAATGACAGTGGGGCCTACCTCCACCCCCCCACCCCCCCCCTCTCTCTCTCTCTCTCTCTCTCTCTCTCTCTCTCTCTCTCTCTCTCTCTCTCTCTCTCTCTCTCTCTCTCTCTCTCTCTCTCTCTCTCTCTCTCTCTCTCTGTTTCTCTGTCTCTCTCTATCTCTATCTCTCTCTGTCTGTCTGTCTGTCTGTCTCTCTCTCTCTCTCTCTCTCTCTCTCTCTCTCTCTCTCTCTCTCTCTCTCTCTCTCTCTCTCTCTCTCTCTCTCTCTCTCTCTCTCTCTCTCTCTCTCTGTGTCTCTCTCTCTCTCTGTCTCTCTCTCTCTCTCTCTCTCTCTCTCTCTCTCCTCTCTCTCTCTCTCTCTCTCTCTCTCTCTCTCTCTCTCTCTCTCTCTCTCTCTCTCTCTCCCCTATCATATCCTTCCCACGCTCCCTCATTCCTTATTTCCTTTCTCCCCCCTGCACATATCCTGCCCCCCCCCCCCCCCGACACTTCCCCACAGCACGCCACAGCAACAAAAAACGGTGACAACTCGGGGTAACAGAGAGCTATGGCGCCGATGGCCGGTTCCACACTTGGCTACAATGTAGTTTTAATCTTTGCTGTTCCTCGCTCTCTTATCCTCCTTTATTTTGATTATTATATTCTAGTTTTTTCTTCCTATATTTACTCTGCTCTTCCTGCTCTAGCAAAACACGGACAGTTGCCATAGAAACAAGTGTACAATCTCATTTTGGTAGGCCTATGACGTTTCTATTCAATATTCTGTCCCCCCAATCCCCCTTTTTTTTCCCTCCCTCCCTCTTCATTCTACTCCCAGTTACCCCCACTCCCTCCCCCAGCCCGTCTGCCCCCAATCCACCCACCCCCACCCACTCTGCTTCACCTTCAACCCTCCACTTCTTTCATCTCAACTTTCACTTCAATTTATTCCCTTCCCACTGTTGGTACGTCAATAATGCAACCAGTGCAACCCACAGAGAATGTGTCATTGTCACCCTCCCACAGAGAATGTGTCATTGTCACCCTCCCACAGAGAATGTGTCATTGTCACCCTCCCACAGAGAACATGTCATTGTCACCCTCCCACAGAGAATGTGTCATTGTCACCCTCCCACAGAGAATGTGTCATTGTCACCCTCCCACAGAGAATATGTCATTGTCACCCTCCCACAGAGAATGTGTCATTGTCACCCTCCCACAGAGCATATGTCATTGTCACCCTCCCACAGAGAATGTGTCATTGTCACCCTCCCACAGAGCATATGTCATTGTCACCCTCCCACAGAGAATGTGTCATTGTCACGCTCCCACAGAGCATATGTCATTGTCATCCTCCCACAGAGCATATGTCATTGTCACCCTCCCACAGAGCATATGTCATTGTCACCCTCCCACAGAGCATATGTCATTGTCACCCTCCCACAGAGCATATGTCATTGTCACCCTCCCACAGAGAATGTCATTGTCACCCTCCCACAGAGCATATGTCATTGTCATCCTCCCACAGAGCATATGTCATTGTCACCCTCCCACAGAGGACATGTCATTGTCACCCTCCCACAGAGCATATGTCATTGTCACCCTCCCACAGAGAATGTGTCATTGTCACCCTCCCACAGAGCATATGTCATTGTCACCCTCCCACAGAGAATGTGTCATTGTCACCCTCCCACAGAGCATATGTCATTGTCACCCTCCCACAGAGAATGTGTCATTGTCACGCTCCCACAGAGCATATGTCATTGTCATCCTCCCACAGAGCATATGTCATTGTCACCCTCCCACAGAGCATATGTCATTGTCACCCTCCCACAGAGCATATGTCATTGTCACCCTCCCACAGAGAATGTGTCATTGTCACCCTCCCACAGAGCATATGTCATTGTCACCCTCCCACAGAGAACATGTCATTGTCACCCGCCCACAGAGAATGTGTCATTGTCACCCTCCCACAGAGAATGTGTCATTGTCACCCTCCCACAGAGAATGTGTCATTGTCACCCGCCCACAGAGAATGTGTCATTGTCACCCGCCCACAGAGAACATGTCATTGTCACCCGCCCACAGAGAATGTGTCATTGTCACCCTCCCACAGAGCATATCTCATTGTCACCCTCCCACAGAGAATGTGTCATTGTCACCCTCCCACAGAGAATGTGTCATTGTCACCCTCCCACAGAGCATATGTCATTGTCACCCTCCCACAGAGAACATGTCATTGTCACCCTCCCACAGAGCATATGTCATTGTCACCCTCCCACAGAGAACATGTCATTGTCACCCGCCCACAGAGAATGTGTCATTGTCACCCTCCCACAGAGCATATCTCATTGTCACCCTCCCACAGAGAATGTGTCATTGTCACCCTCCCACAGAGAACATGTCATTGTCACCCTCCCACAGAGAACATGTCATTGTCACCCTCCCACAGAGCATATGTCATTGTCACCCTCCCACAGAGAATGTGTCATTGTCACCCTCCCACAGAGAACATGTCATTGTCACCCTCTCACAGAGCATATGTCATTGTCACCCTCCCCACAGAGAACATGTCATTGTCACCCTCCCACAGAGCATATGTCATTGTCACCCTCCGACAGAGAATAGTCACAGAATTCACACGTATCCCTTCCTCTCATTAACTTTGTGGGCATAGCTGGCCCCCCACCCATCATAGCTGGCCCCCCACCCATCATAGCTGGCCCCCACCCATCATAGCTGGCCCCCCACCCATCATAGCTGGCCCCCCACCCATCATAGCTGGCCCCCCACCCATCATAGCTGGCCCCCCACCAATCATAGCTGGCCCCCCACCCATCATAGCTGGCCCCCCACCCATCATAGCTGGCCCCCACCCATCATAGCTGGCCCCCCCACCCATCATAGCTGGCCCCCCACCCATCATAGCTGGCCCCCCACCCATCATAGCTGGCCCCCCACCAATCATAGCTGGCCCCCCACCCATCATAGCTGGCCCTCCACCCATCATAGCTGGCCCCCCCCCCAACATAGCTGGCCCCCCACCCATCATAGCTGGCCCCCACCAATCATAGCTGGCCCCCCACCCATCACAGCTGGCCCCCCACCCATCATAGCTGGCCCCCACCCATCATAGCTGGCCCCCCATCCATCATAGCTGGCCCCCCACCCATCATAACTGGCCCCCACCCATCATAGCTGGCCCCCACCCATCATAGCTGGCCCCCCACCCATCATAGCTGGCCCCCATCCATCATAGCTGGCCCCCCACCCATCATAGCTGGCCCCCACCCATCATAGCTGGCCCCCACCCATCGTAGCTGGCCCCACCCATCATAGCTGGCCCCCACCCATCATAGCTGGCCCCCACCCATCATAGCTGGCCCCCCACCCATCATAGCTGGCCCCCACCCATCATAGCTGGCCCCCCACCCATCATAGCTGGCCCCCACCCATCATAGCTGGCCCCCACCCATCATATGTTGGCCCCCACCCATCATAGCTGGCCCCCACCCATCATAGCTGGCCCCCACCCATCATAGCTGGCCCTTACCCATCATAGCTGGCTCCCCACTCACCGTAGCTGGCCCCACCCATCATAGCTGGCCCCCCACCCATCATAGCTGGCCCCCACCCATCATAGCTGGCCCCCACCCATCATAGCTGGCTCCCCACCCATCATAGCTGGCCCCCACCCATCATAGCTGGCCCCCACCCATCATAGCTGGCCCCCACCCATCATAGCTGGTTCCCCACCCATCGTAGCTGGCCCCCCACCCATCATAGCTGGCCCCCCACCCATCATAGCTGGCCCCCACCCATCAT